TAAATAAGGATACATAAGTTATATAGAGAAGATTGATAAATTAAAGGAAACTATGGTTTATGTATTAAAGTGAAGAGCTACAAAGTTTTATTAAAGAGTATTGTGGAAGTCATGAGAAATTGAACTAAATAAATAGATGGTTTATGTGAGTGAAAAGGGAAAATGATATAAAATAAGTTATGAAATTATAGGAATATAGAAGATAAGTCGAGAGATGTAGGGAAACAGAAATAGATGTTTATTAAGAGTCATAGGAGAAAAAATATATGTAATATGATAATGAAATATAAGACTATGTGGATACATGATTATGAGATAAAATATGTAATAATAGGAAAATATGATGAAAGTGAGTTTATAAGAAGTGATATGAACTAGGTAAACATGGGTAACAGTATATGCATAATGGAAACATGAGTTGGACAAGTACATAGTGGTATGATTTATTATGAGAATTAGTATAGTGGAGCTATATGAAAAGATTATAATGAATATATGAAATTGAATTAAGTAAAGAGATTAAATTAGTACCTAAATAAAAATACTATTAAATGATATATGTTTAGAAATACGACATAATTTATAATCTAAGGGAATACAAATAAATGGAGCATAAGGTAGATAATATGATATCCGTTATTATATATCTATATGATATATGTCATCAGGTAATATGAAAGGACTCTGAAAATTGATATAAGCTATGAGAAAGTGTTCTAGGTGTTTCTATGTGTTATATGAAGCATATATGATCATATGTGAACAAGATATGATATGTATGTTTATATGAATATCTGAGAAATGATCTAAGCTATATGATATGATATATGTGATTATGTGCACTTTGGGATATATGTTATATGATATGGATCTATGTAACTACGTGAGAACGTATATAAGCTATGTGACATGTAAATGTGACTCATATGAAAATGTTCTATGAGTAATTGAACTATGTGTTATGTGAAATGATAAGTATAAAAGAAAATGCCCATGTTATGTGTCTTGAGAGCTAGGGGTATAGTTGGCATGCCAAGAGTTGAGGGTCTACGCGGTCCTTCGGGACATATATGTATTCTTTGGAACATGTGTGAAGTCTGGTGAGACACATACTTGATCCTTGGCATATGTATATGATTCTTAAGGAATGATATGTGGTCCTTCGGGACATATATGTATTCTTTGGAACATGTGTGAAGTTTGGTGAGACACATACTTGATCCTTGGCATATGTATATGATTCTTAAAGAATGATATGTGGTCCTTCGGGACATATATGTATTCTTTGGAACATGTGTGAAGTCTGGTGAGACACATACTTGATCCCTAGTATATGTATATGATTCTTAAGGAATGATATGTAGTCCTTATGGACATTATTATATGGCACTACGGTGCAATTCTACGCGGCACTCCGGTGCAATTCTACGTGGCACTTCAGTACAATTATACGAGTTGTGGTGACAGCATAGTGCACAACCTCTATAGACTCACATATCTATAGTTCTCACATGTGTACATGGGCTTTGAAAAGAGAACATAATTTGATATAATGATATGTGTATTTCTCGTGACATGGTAGAAGTGCATATATGTCTTGGTGATATGAGAAAAATGTATGTGATATATGTATATGATTTGTGATATGATGTGTGCATGATATGATATATGTGTGATAGGGGTTATGGTATCTGTTACATAATATACATGAATATATGTTGATGTATATGTAAATGAGATGTATAATTTGATAGCATAAAACAATCATGCATGATTAGTGGGTATGAATTCCATTAGATGTGTTTTCTTTATGCCTCACTAAGTCATCGAATTAGCGTGTGAGTGTTTCACACGCAGGTTACAGAAAGTGAATATGGAAGCTGTGAGGAGCAATACAGGTCAGCATCTCCCGTACAAGATTTCAGATCAGAAAATAGATGAGTTAAATGATTTTTGTTATTTTGAATATAGTTGGCATGTACTAATTGATTGAGTTAAATATGCCCTGATCGATTTTGGTTATTGTGGTCAAATTATGTAACTAAATTGCTTTTACTCTAAGGAAAGTTTTAAATTTTCTTTGAATTTTGTCAAGAGTCAAAGTTTGAAAAGTCAATGTGACACCTCGGACTCGTATCCGGGTCGGGTACGGGTTGGGGGTGTTACATGTTATGATTCCAACAATGTAACGGCACACCGATTAATTTAATCCAGGTTACTCTTTCGGACGCTCTGTAAGATTCTGTCCATGGATGAACTTCCAAAAATACTTTAAGTAAAAGCGACCATTTATTCTCCTTCATGATCTTATACAGCTCTTCATGAACAATTTCTATTAGAAAATCTCTCCCTCCCAGAAACTTAGTATTGACATCTCCCAAACCTCTGACACTTAATCTTTCTTCCACCTGAGACGAAGAACAAACCGTTGCATAGTACCTACCAAACAATTCTGAAGTTTTCTAACGACATCATCATCAATAACCCCCTGTATAACCCTTCTCCTCCTTCTTGTGTGTGCCTCAGAGCCTTCTTCACCAAAGTTTTTATCTTTATGAATCCTTGCGGCTATATTGGAAGATGAAAAACTATTCTGATCCCCACTTAAAATCTTTGCTCTATACCGTGCTTCCTTCACTGAAAGTCGATATCCGAATAACCAAAATCCATTTAGTCTTTGCATTGCTCTAATTGTATCTTCTTTGTTTGAAAATCTAACAAATCCAAATCGCTTCCCCATTATGTCATTCTTCCATGCTATGTAAGAGCTAACCACGTCTCCATGCCTACCGAATAGTTGTCTCAATCCACTCCAATGATATCTAGGAGGAATATTTTGAACAAACAGAGTTTGATTCTCACCTTCCTTTCCTGAAACCTTCACCGTCGTTTGAGCTTCCTTTCCTAACGCCATTTACTAATTGTGTGCGCTTCAACTTCAGAATAGTTGTAATTGGACATGACTTGACTCGTACCCAATTTTGAGAAAATAACCTTATAAAATCAGGTCGAAATGAAATTCAAAATTTAAGTCTCATACATGTCCCTAAACGTTACCTTCTATTAGTCTTAAATAGGTTTTAGAAGTAATTAATATTAGTATATAGATAACTTAGATTGTGTTTTTTTTACCATTCACAATATCAATCTTATTATATTCAAGTCGAGAATTTAGCCTAAGATAATGAAAGAAAAAGAATACTTAATTATTATATTATATTAAAACTAAGATCATCAAGTACAACAAAATCCTAAAGAAACAAAACAACAAAACCAAGGAGACAAAACAACACAAAGACCAAAATCATAATAGGCAAAACACCAAAGATTATTAATTTTGTTTATTTAATCAAAATTAAAATGAAAATATTGTGATCATTAATCGCAATAATTCCAAAAGGTTTTAGTAATTGCAAATATTAACAATAATTATAACGAACATCAACATATGGACAATATATAATACAAAAGATGATGTACACTGCAGAACAGACAATAACTTAGGTATGATTTCTTACATCATGTTATTTTACTTTCTTGTAATAATTATTTTAAATTACAGAAAGAAAACGAATGCACCAAGAGACCAAGGAGCACATGGGGTTTTCTCTGTTGAGAGGCAATGGTTGATGAGCAATTTGGCCCTTGTTCCAAAAATGATAACCCAGAAGATACCTTGGAGTTTAGGCTAATTAATTTGATCGGATCAATATATAAAATTATTGCCAAAATTCAAATAAAGGGATTAAATTGTAAAATTATAATAATTCATTAAAATTTTGAAGCACTCATGAAAATTAATGCATGTTCATGCATCTAATCTTGATTTCAATCAATACAATAAGTTCCGTAACAATTCAGAAGTTTTAACATCATCAATTGCACAAAATACAATTAGAAGGATCAAATTGTAAAATTCTTGGAACCTGAGTCTCGAGATTAAGTGTCTTAGTATCAAGACTTTAGCCATTTTCCCCCAAAATTAAAATTTCTAATGCACTCAATAGTCTCGAAACTGATTCATATATAATCTTAACAATTATTAATCTAATCTCGAGATTTAAATTCAGAAGTACAAGACACTCTAATTTATATCAAAAGTGTACCAAATGACCCTAATGTACACTGAACATGTTACCAACATATCATACATACTTTATACATATCAAATCAGCAAATCAACATGAGAAGTAACAATCAACAGAGGTTTCTTTGACATGCTCACTAAAACACACTACATAATGAATACTAAACCTGCAAAATTCAATTATCAAGCATAATAAATTAACCATTTCTCATTACCATCAAGCCTCATAAATTAAAAACAACTAATTGACACTTTGCCTCTACCTCCAAACTAAAATTTTAAGCATGCTTATCAAACTGACAAGACTAAAGCAAGTCATGCATTCACAAGTTTGAATGGAGTATCTGTTGGTAAATGATATTACTGCAAATATAATATCGTTTGCATGGACTAATAAGCAATAATAAAGTAATAAAATAAATTAGAACGATTTACTGTGTCGTGTTAGGAGTTACTATCTTAGGAATAATTTTATTCGGATTGGTGTAATCCCGAAAATGGATATTGTCTCTTAAGGCTAACATAATCTTTCAAATTTCGTACACCCTAAGTGAAGAGGTGAACCCGCTTATGTTGATCTCTCCGACAAGACTTGAGTAACCCACTTCCCAAAAATATCTCCACTATTTGCATTACTCACAATATCGTAGGTTTTCCAGTGCTCCATATATGTTGACCTTATCTTTAATCCATAAATCAAGATGAAAGTATTCTCTTAATTCAACCTATTGCACTAGCATATATGGATTATCTTTTCTTAAGTTGCAATTGAAGTTAAAGGCAAACCTATTGCGCTATCATATACATACATATAAGCTAACATAAACTTTATATTTTTCCCTCTAGAATGACAGATTAAACATTGAATATTGAACAGCATGGTATATAAACAACAAGATCTTCTTTCAAACAAGTCAATTTTGTACTGATTTGCATGAAAAATACCAAAAACCTGTGAATCATGTCAAGTATTACAAGTGTTTTTCATATTCTCCTTATTGATCTAAAGAAGAACCAAAGGAAGGAGCAACAACAACAGAAGAATACACCTTAGAATTCCCAAGCGAGACCTTGCAAAGCTTGTTGTTGTTGTTACCTCCTCCATCATGACGATGATCATCTGAACTACTTGAAGAACAAAATATAGTTTCTTCAACAACCGTATCGAAATCACCACCACCAACAGGGTCCCATTTTTTCCCCATCTTTCCATTAATGGTACTTTTCAAAGCTGTTGATCTTGCATGGTTCTTCATGATCGTTAACTGAAGAAGCTGATAAACCCTTGGATTAATCTTCCCTATCAGATTCCTGCAGTTTTCTTCATACTGAAAATTAGTCTTGGCATCCTTTCCTCGTAAAACCCTGGCGGCGTTATCGTATGCCAAGGCAGCCTCTTCGGCTTTATCGAAAGTCCCCAGCCATAGTCTCAGCTTCTGAGATGAGTTCTTGATCTCAGCCACCCATCGTCCCGACGGTCGTTGTCGGACCCCGAGGTATCTTCTTCCACCATTGAGCTTCTTATTGCTTCTTTTCTCACCAATTTTATTGAAGCTTTCTGCTTCAAGAGGTTCAATGGAGGTCTGGTTTTGTCTAGGGTTTTGATCTGACTGAGACACCATAGTTAATGTTGAAGTATCCATGGTGTTCATTGCAGGAGGAGAAAAGGGTTATATGGGTAGCAAAGATGATGAGCTGCTATGATATCATGGAATTATAATGGGGGCTTCAAAGAATGATTTTGAGATAATTGCATGTTCATTGTCTTCTTGTGATTAGAAAATTAGGTTTAGCAAGGTGTCAAGTTTATAATATTCTTTATTTATATATACCATCACTGAGGTAAATTGAATTAAACTTTCAATTCAAATACATGAAATAATTTTATTTGGTTTAACTAATGATATTTGATTTATTAATTAAGATAAAAGATTATAAAAGTTTATTATTTAATGACCTTCTAAATTCAATTTGCTCCATTTACAATGTCAAGATTTGCTAAACTTGATCTCTTAATGTTATATAATTTCTTAATTGACTAATTTAGATAAAATATTATAGAAATTCTTTATGAGGACGTCTCATCCCAACTTAATATATTCTATCCACAATTTCATAATTTAAATATATGAACTTTATTTTAAAAGATATAGCACATTATTTTATTACATCAATCGGTTGTTGGTAAGTAACGAAAAGTACATCTACTCTACGTTAAAATATAGGATAAATTACGTACTTAGTCACCCAATTATTCTCACAGTTTCTTTATGATTATTCAATTACTTTTTTTATTTTGTTTTGGTCACTCATCGTTATAGTCATTCACCATTAAACTTACTTAAAGGATCCAATGTCTCCTCTCATTATATCACATAAGTACTGAAATATATATTTACCCTGCATTAAAATATACTCAAATATATATTTGACACATGTTTTGGTCACAACGGCCTCTCAAGTAGATGGGCAGAAAACACCAAAACAAAGCCAATGAACTGACAAAAACCAATGTTTTATTCCATTTTATAAGATTGCACAACTTAAAAATCAGATTATACCCTAAGTAATACCCTTAGTAACATACATCCAACAGCCTACAAACAAAACTCACACCTCAAAAGTGCCCCAAAAGAAACCAAAACAAAGACACCTTTGCCATCGTAACCTTTCTTTTATGAAAAAAAAAATATGTTGGGTTTTATATTTTGTCTGGTAATAGCTTGTCTTTGCTTCTAGTCTTTAAGAACATGGGGCATATATCCTTTCTGTTAGCTCATTTTGCATATCAAATATGCTGGTTTTTGCAGTTCCTGCAAATACTCAGAACAACTTTTCAGCTTGCTTGTTGGGTTCCTTGTGAACTTATTCACGTCTGTATATAAATACCTTTCTTCTGTTGAAGGTTTTTTGTTTTTAAATTGTGCTCTTCACTGCCATTTTCTGATATAGATGATATATATAAAGGGTTATTTAGTTTGTTGTTGTTTGGATTCTTTAGGGCAGAACCTTTTTTCATCTTAAATTCTCCTTTAATAATGTTGAGTGAAGTCAGTTTTTCGTTCATTTGTTGTTTTCTGCATATTCATACTTCCTCTTCTTTCTGGTGCATATCATACATACAATTAAAACACATGACTATATATATTTTGATTAGTAAGGTACTATCTATTTGAAATACTCTCGATCATTTAACAATAAACGCTCAAATACTCCTAGTTGACGTCACACTCAAACCGGGATCTCTAAACATAACAACCATCCCTTTCAAATGTCCTACTTTAGGGACATTTGATAAATTGAATTGTTTGAACTAGTTCAATTAGATATATCTACTTGATAAAATAAATTTGATTTTCATGTTTAACTTTAAACTTGATTTTTATCTTAAAACAAATTCAAATTGAGATTTTTCAGTATTCAGTAAAAAAATAAATAAATATTAGATTAATCTCGTGTATTAGTATTAAAATATTTAAATTCCACCGATACAATAGCTCAACTGTGTTTAAGAACTTTGAACTTAAAATAAAGTTATAAGTTGGAAACTTAAAACACTGTCAATTAATTTTCTTACAGATTCTTATAACCTTACATTCTTAAATACAAATCAAAACACAAAAATGATGGTTCTAAATTCGAACCATAATGTCGGATTCGAGACTGCATCGTAAGTTGGTAAGAACATCTTACAGACATAACTTTCTTGACAAGAAACAACTTTTTTCTTGGTGTTTAAATATGTACATTTGAAAGAAATCCTAGCAGCATAATATACAGACCATCTTTTGGTCGAAAATAGTGGGAAAAAAAGGCGATCATCGATGACCTTCACCTCTCTCTTCTGAGCTTCTCGATTTTGCTTCAAACCGTGCAGTATAACCAACTGTAGTGTGGCGTAACGATCTCTGTCGCACTATGTGACAGTACTCGGGGTCGTCGGATTGCCCATCGGATCGAATCCACTGTATCATCTGATGGTACATGGGGAAAAATCGGATTTGGATGGCCGAATAAGCGAAATATGGGAGAAGTGAGGTTACCAGCACGAGGAGTGTAAGAAGCCAAAACGACCCTGCAGGCGCACAGGCTTCAATAAAGACCTTGTAGGCAGTAGTCGATATGTTCGGGTCCATGGCTCCGTATGCCATGAGGAAGATATACCACAATATTATGCCACCCCATATGAAGAGATGTTGAATGTATGTAAAATAAGTGATCGATAATGCCATTTGGCAGTTCACGACCCACACGACACACGTATACATGGTGGCGCCGAGGACTTCTAAACCGGCAACTTCCCCGCCTTTGCGGAAGGCTTGATGCTGCATTGCTCGGATGCAGAAGAAGAAGATGATTGTAGCACTTAGAACTCCGTTAAACGCCCATGCGAGGATCCTAAGCCAGCTAAATAGGACATTCTGTATGCCTTCTTGATATAATAGAGGAAACTGCAACATCGAGTCGAAGAGAAATCAGATATCATCATCAAAGTTTAAATTTTCGATAAGTAGAGCAACATAGAAGTTCTCTTAGGTATAGAGAGATACCTTAAGACACAAACGGGATGAGACGTCTTGGTCGAAAACTCCAAGAGCGATCACCGGAAGTGATGTGAAGAAGACATTATAGAGGGACAGAAACCAATCGTTGTATACAGCTTGTCCGGAGAATGATGCGTATATCTCGAAGAAGAAGATAGTGAAACCAAAAGCAATATTCTTGTAAAAGAAATAGCATATCTGCAAAACAGTTACATCATTTTAGTTTAACTGGTTGCTATTGGATGATGTTTCTTTTTCATCTCTTAACAATCTTCTGATTTTGTGGTTATATCGAATTCTGAGTTCGGTTTTGTGATAAGAAAACATTAACATCCAAGTTGCAGGTTTTGATGAACACTTCAAGTTTAACATATAAGAGTAACTTATAATACCATGGATGAAATCCGCCTGTAACACCAATGCCCGTGCACAAGAAGCAAGCGCTCCAAATATCGGAACTGAGCAATCGCGATGTCACTTGACATGACAGCCTAAAAATTCGAGAAGTCGATATTAGAATCGAAGAAAACTCATCAAGCGAAACAAACCGATGCACCATCTTTATACATGAAGCAATTTGCATTTACCTGCATTCCTTCTACACCACTGATACCAACTCCAATATCGGCTTCTTGAAGCATACCGACATCGTTTGCTCCATCACCGATTGCCAGAGTTGTACTTCCCGTTTTAGTTTTAACCAGTCTTGTAACCTGCGAAATTTCACCCAGTTAGTTTGAATTATCCTCAGAATTGCTAGAGTAGCAAGAAAAAACTCAGATGCTTTTTTTCTTAAATTACAAAAAGTACTCATTAGTCAAGTCGAATACATATGTGCACGTGTGCGTGCGCGAGCACATCATTAAGGGATGATATAACTTACTAGAGCCTTCTGTTTAGGAGATGAACGACAGCAAATAACGGATGCACATCCAATAGCAAGTTCTAGGAAACTATCTTTGACATCATCTTCCAGAGCATGCGTTAATGATTTTCCATCGACAATCAAAGCCAATGCCTCGGAATTTTCATTCGATGAAGCAAGCAGCTGCTTCCCTTCAGCTATCTGCTGGATAACGCTTGCCTTGCATGCCTAGAAAATAGAAAATCAAAAAGTTCTCAATAAGCTGACGAGCACACTCAAAACATCAGATTGTATTCGGATAAGAAACAAGTATGGCAAACACAATTCAAGGCAGAAAAATCTTTCTTGAAATGTGCTTGAACCGATACGACAACCAGCATTCTATGAGATAAAAAGGGGTCATTGAACATAGAGTTTACCGCTGCAGCAGCGGTTTTATCCCCAGATTTCTCCAATGCCTTGTTTTCCGGAGTCTCAGAATTTATTACAACTTGCTTCATTCCTTGTCTAAGCAAACTACAGGCAAAGCTGCAAAGTTGGAAGTTTCTGAAATCAGCATACAGTTCACACAAGTCTTATGGTAAGCATTTGCAACAATGATTATACCCAATATTAATGGCAGTCTCCATCTTATCTCCTGTCAAAACCCATATCTTGATCCCGGCTTGTGCAAGTTTGTCGATGCATTCCGGAACCTGTCCAGCAGAAAAGGCAAAACATGAATGCAGACACTCAAAATATAAACAGATGATGCTCTCAATATGTGGTCTTTGAACACACCCCATTTTGAAGTTTGTCTTCAACAGCTGTAGCACCAAGAAGAATCAAATCCCTCTCGATTTTCTCCGCCACTTCCTCGATCATTTCCTCCCGATCTGCGCTCACTACATTCTTGGCTTCCGTGAATTCCTCATTGAACTTAACATATTCTTCCTCGTCTATTTCACGGTATGCAAGTACCAAAGTCCTTAAACCAGCATCAGCATATTCTTCAATGTGCTCCTTGGTTTGCTCTGCAAATTCTTGTCCATTCTTTGCAAGTCTTTCGAACATGACACTGCTTGTAAGAAGAATGAAAATGTACTTAATATAATCCATTGTGAATTATTTTTATAACAGAAAGAACCCTTAATCTAATCCTTAGAAGTTTCAGATTACAAACCTGTCTGCACCTTTACAAAGTAGCAGCAGCTTGCCCTCCTCATTCCGCACAATCACAGACATCCTCTTTCTCGAGCTACTAAACTCCAAGATGTTCAATAGGTCATAAGATCTGAAGAAGAGGAAAAAATTTAGTCATTTTCATTGCATAACGTAAGATCATTAGCTATCGACACTTAATATTAACAGATGAAGCCTATGTATTCAGCCTGCAGCTTAAGTTAACTCCAATGGATGGCCTTGAAAATAATTTTATAAACGATCAAGGATTATAGAGTTGAACCTTTTGACTTTTTTCCCAGAGAGATTGAACTCGTATAATGAAATGCTTGTTTGTGTCCTTTCATAAAACTCGAATCCCAGTTCTTTAGCTGCAACCACAAATGCTGCCTCGTCTGGTGATTCAGCTTCATAGGAAATTCTACCAGTTTCTTCATCCACCTCAGGTATTGCAGTATGACAGATAGCCAATAGTCGTAAGAACTTCTGGATTACATCATCATGAGGTTCGTTTGGCCAATTACCATTCATGATTCTTTCGTCCACAAAATTAAACCCTTTGACAGCCGGCTTTTCTTCCTTGTTCTCCTCCTTTACTTGGCCCTCGACCACTGCTACCTCTTGAGCCAAAGGCGAACCCTTTCTCCAGGCGAGAGCTCTTTCAACTTCGGTGATTCCATGACCATAAGATGTTCCAGCTATAGAACATTTGATAAATTCCATGGAATTGCAAGTCAAAGTTCCAGTTTTATCAGAAAGTATAGTGTCAACCTGGCCAAGTTCTTCATTTAGATTCGAGGTCCGAGCACGTGCTGGCTTGTCGGCTTCTTCATAGTACATGTGCAGATCTTGGTTGATGAAAATACTCTGGAGAACTTTGACAATTTCAATGGATACATACAAGGAAATAGGAATCAAATATGAATACAGCATGAGGGCTGTCAAAAACTGCAAAATTGCTGCTACTGCTGCCCTCTTCGGGTCATAATAAATTGTTGTTTCATCCGGTCTAAGGTACCATCTGGTCATTACTCCATTTTCAAGGTCCTCTCTAGTCTCTATGCCAAAGAAAATCGACCCGATAATCGACAGCACAACTAGGACAGCAAACAGAAAGTACACAATCTTATCCATCCTCTTCTCGACCTTGCTTCTCTTCGAAGGAGGTTCTGTTGAATTTTGAATGACCTTTGTGTCACGGCCTGTGAAGATAACTACACCGAAGATATAATCCGTGTTCCGTAATTTGGAGTCCCTAAGTAAAAGCTGCTGAGGAGATAGAGGATGTTGTTCATCTCCAAGTTCCAAACTACCAACGAAAGAGTACAGATTCGCATTCGGGTCTTCACATCTGATGACAGCTTTAAAATTCTGAAAGCTTGAATCCTCATGCAAACTTGATGTTACATCCGATGCTTGTTTTAGTTTCAAATTGGTTTCACCATCGAGGTTCATCGTTTCAACATAGCAAATAGCTTCCTCATAACTTGATGAGAGCAAAATGAGATCTGCAGGAAAGAATTCATCCTTTTCCACCTTCACTATATCTCCAACTTTCAAATCCATCCATTTTGTATGTTCAAAAACACCATCACCTTGATGCATTTTAACTTCCCGGTTGTTGACCTCAATGTCCTGCAATGTCATCGAAGAAAATATTATGAACCCGGAAACATAAAAAAAAATGGAAATAAAAAACAAGACGTATGAAGCAAAAGGTTACAAACACACTTGCAGCATTCCTATACACATTTTTTAGCAACCCCTTTCCCCCTATCCCCACAAATACTCTCTCTCTCCTGCAAGATAACCTCTATTCACAGCCTTCTGGCAATCGATTCAGTTGTAGCAGCCAACAAATATGTTTCCCAAAAACCAATTCAGACTTTGTGACAATATATGCTTCAATTCTAACTTATATCAGCATACCCGAAACTCCAGAAATCCACCACAACTTCCCCATGATTCATAGAAAAGCCATTGCAAAAATGAGACTAGTTACAATTGAAGCTACACTTGGTACCATATAAATGAGAAACAGAACAGTAGTGATTTATAAATTCAACTCTAAGCAACATCGAGTTTCTTAACGTCGATTACCTGTTTTTTCCGTCTCCAATCTTCGACGGCCTCTTTTCCCATAGTAGCTCCTATAACAACAACTAATGGAAGAATATTGCTAACAGCAGAGTAAGGAGAGAGTGGTGTAAAAGCCAGAACAGCACATATGAGAAAATAAAAATTGGCAGCCCTCCTGAATTGCTCGAACAACGATTTCGGAAAGAAGGTCGCTAGCGTATACTTTGTACTCCGAACATAATTGTCGTTGTAGTTGTGAAGACTGGCCTCAAAACATTCAGGGTCATTGCAATATACAACCCTTGAGAAGCCAGGCCCTCCTATCAATGAATGATCACCTCTGAAAGATGCTTTCCCACATGAGAAAGCATGTATTCGGCTAAAATGCTGCTTTCTTCGCCTGGCACCAACCATTCTTCACAATTTTAATCCAATCCCAAGTGGTTTCAAAGGATCAAAAACATAGTAAACACTAAAATAACTTTCTTTTTCCCCCTCAGCAACTGCAGATCATGATCATGAATGCTATAAACAAATTTCTCCAAGATCAGCTACAACAATGAAACCAGATCTTTAGTCCATAATCCTATTTATGAACATTTAAAGAAAGTAAATGAAACTAACATCAATCAAGAATAAAACACCCAGAAAAACCCAGAAAAACACTTAAACAACAAATCCCATCTCATAATTTTATTTTAGTTTTTGGAAGAAGTTGAGTACTAGGCAGGCATATCTGAGTTTTTGACTTTCAGCTGGTTTGTTTTACCAATCTAAGCACATTTACTTTAAACTCAACTACTTCATTATAATTCATTTAAAACCAATATAGTAATAAATAGAAAGAAGATAAGATCACCAACCCCAGAGACAACCAAACCAGATAAAAATGGAAACTGAAACAGCTTTTAGGTTAAGTGTTTGTTAAGTTTTCCGAAAGTTTAAGCTAAATACCTAAATAACCTGTAAATTATACCTCAAGCAATTATTTGCAGGAGGCGGCCAAGTCTTCTAGAAAGTCAAAGACAAAAGGCTGTAACTTGTAAGATAAACATGATAAAGGAAACAGCTTTTTAAGAAAACCCCATGATTTATATGCTTTCAGACAAAATAATATATCCCATAGATCTGATCTTTGAGACTTAACATCTACAAGCAAACCATGAAATCTCAAATGCAGAATGCTTTTTAAAAAAACAAAGAATGGAATTATTAAGCTAACATACTTCAATGACATTTTTTTCTTCTTTTTCCTCTGGGATCTTCCTTTTCCTTTGCTGGCAACTTGAAATTTTGCACAACAAGCAGCGGAGAAAAAACAAACTAAGACAAATAAAACAAGAAAACTGGGGTTTTCTTTTTCTGCGTGTTGTGCTGTGTTCTTCAGGTGAATGTGAAGAGAAGAGAGAGGGGGGATTTAGCTGAATCTGTGATTGGGGGAAGGACAGAACACAGGTGTAAGATGAACTTAAGGTTGTCAGAGAAACACTGAAAATATTTTCTTTTTCCTTTTGAAAGAGAAAGATTTGGCTTTTTTACCCCTGACACCGTTTATTTTTATTTTTACTTTTCTAACACCGTTCGATCAATATTTCCAAAACTAGCACCATTTCTGCTGAGTTGGTAAAGGCGCGTCCCCGGGGACGCGCTTTACCCGTGTTTTCGCTGAGTTTGATGCCACGTGTGAAAGGCGCGTCCCCGGGACGCGCCTTTGCCAACTCAGCAGACACGTATTTTGTTTTATAATAAATAGTTTATTTTATTATTATTATAAATTAATAAATATTATGTAAAATGTTTCGATTATAATGTAAGAATTATCAAGTTTCGAGTATTTTTGATTTTGATTATCGATCTATTAATTTTATCAGTTAATTATTTAAATGTTATCAATCTAGTCATCTCATATCAATATTTAACGAAAATATTGATGCATAAGTTAATAAATTAGTATAATTACATATTTAATCTTCAAGACTTACATATTTTATAAAATTAGTCTTATTGAAAATTTAATTTAATAAATTTAATCCTCCAATCAGAACATGAAATGTGTCATCGTATACATAAATTTTTTAATAACTTTTAATTTGTTTAATTTAATATTTTTCTCTACTTAGAAGGTGGAATTATTATTATATTTTAAAAAAAATTATAACTAATAATATTAAATAATATATTAAATAAATATATTAAATATATTTATGTATTTAAAAGTTAAAAAAAATTATTTAGGTGTACATACATTGACAAATTATATAAATGCAATAACATTAAATTATTAGAAATAAAAACATTCATTTAAAAACTTTAATTACATAAGAGTTAACGGTTATATGATGATAACAGAGCTGGACATTTTTTTCTATTGTGCCCGATGTTTCTACAATGCCCACATCGTTTTTGTTCTGTTGACTTCTCCCGAATATCCATATCACAATGTATTCTAGTAGATTTTGGACGACCTGAGTCCCTCAATAGCAATGGATCTGGGACAATTGTAAGCCAAGTTTGAATCTCATTTGGGTCTCTTTCGTTTCCTATGGGCGGAAACTCAAATTCATATACCTTGAAAACTTGTGAAAGTTGGTATACGGGATCAACATAATTTTTGTAGTCCAAATGCGAATGTGAGCAAGCAGCAATGACATGAGAGCATGGATATTTGAGTGCTTGAAAGAAACCACAATCGCACCACCTCTCTTGCAGATTAACTCTGAAAGAGTTAGCTTCAATCCCTTGCAGCGGACGTGGCATTTCGGTTACACGAAACAATTCACGGGTGCGAGAAAAATTTGTAACTAACATCCCATTTGATGTAGCCATTTTTTTCTGTAAATCGGCTACTAGTCTTGGGTGGTAAATATGTCCGTTTTGCATCCAAGTAAGAGCTTGTCCACCGAGTTTTGCAAAGAGTTGACCCAAACGAAAATAAGTCGTTTTGACCAACGTCGTGACTGGTAAATGACGCGCCCCCTTTAAGGTTGAATTTATTGCTTCAGCCAAGTTTGTTGTCATATGACCATAGCGATACCCCCCGTCATATGCATTTGTCCACATTTCTTTGTTGATGTCCATAATGTACTCGCACCCCTTCTTATTTTTGCCAAACAGCTCTTGTAGCATCGACTCAAACCTTTGAGGTAAGAGTTCGTAACCTAAGTCATTAGGAATATGTAATAGTTATATGAAGTATAAATAAGTAATAAGAAATTGATAGAAAAATTGGGAAAAAGTAACATACACATCCGCACGACTAACTGACGTTCATCGTTCTTCTTGTATTTTCCGTAATAGTTTGCAGCAATATGACGGACACAATAACGATGTTGAACATGTGGAGGTCTATACATTGTACCCAAAGAGTCCATTGCTGCTTTTATCCCGGCTCCTCGGTCTGAAATAATGCATACTCGTTCCCTGGTGACAACATGTAAACGTAAATTTTTAAGGAAAAAAGCCCAAGACTCAGTGTCTTCTCCTTGAACGAGGGCAAACGCAACAGGAAGAATATTGCGGTTTCCATCTTGGACCACAGCCAATAATAAAACTTGCTTGTATTTCCCATACAAGAAAGTACCATCAATTTGGACAATTGGTTTACAGTACTTGACTGCATTAATACACTGAGGGTAAGTCCAAAAGACTCGGTAAAATTGGCAGCGATCGCGAACCATTCGATCATTCACGTAATGATGTTGAGTTTCGAACTCAACAATTGTCCCGGGATTAAGTCTTTGCACAACATGAAACCAACTGGGCAGCTCGTTGTAAGAGGAATCCCATTCGCCATGAAGTTTGCAAATGGCATTCTGTTTTTCCAACCACGCTTTTTTATATGAGACAGTGTACCCATATTGGGACTGTATAGCAGAAATCAACACTGCAACAGCTATATGAGAGCTTTGCTTCACAATGGGCATGATTGCTTGACAAATAATGTTGGAGTCCAAGTTGGGATGATCCTGGTTTATACTTGTTGCACAACATGTATGAGGACCGTTGTATCTGGTTAGTTCCCATAAGTTGTTCTTCCTCTTCCTCTTTGATACACGGACCATCCATTGACATCCGTTGTAACGTTGGACGCAGTAGCAGACATATTTCTCCGTGTTAGATCGATCAACTCGGGACTGAACTGAGTTACGAATATTGTAACTCTTTATTGCCATCATTGCTTCCTCCTTCGATGCGAACTCCATTCCAATATGTAAATTACCGTCATTGACTGATGATTGAAGTCCATAGTTTCCAACATCAGGAAGATCTGGAAATTCAGGCTCATACATTGCATCATAATCAGCCTCATACATATGTGCAGGAAGTTCGGCTGGTGTTGTATTTATCGGAACGTCATCCTCGTCATCATCAGAATGTACGTTAAACTGTGGTGAGTCAGGTTCAACGAATAATCCCGTTTCAGCACCATCTGCACCTGGCTCCCGAAGAGGTTCTTCTGGTGGAGATGAGGGTTCCTCCGATAATCCAATGTTGAGGTCAAATAAGTTCCCGCTTGCGTGTCCTCCCCTTGAACTTGAGGCCATTGTATCATGTGGGATGTGAATAGACTGTCGTCTCGTTGGCATTTCCATATGTAAGTCGAAAACATTGGCAGATGAATGTCTGCCCCTTGAAGTAGAAGAGATGTTGCCATATGGATTATTGGTGAAGCCACGTGGGTTGAGATCATAAGCAGTTGCAGATGAATGCCTTCCTATTGAACTTGATGGCATGGTATATGGCGTTGGATCCGCCATTAATGATGTGAAATCATTACAGATAAGTTGTGTCGGGCTATCAACTTGATCAGTTTGATATGCAATGCCAAAGTGAGAGGAATATGAGAGACCACGAGTTACACGAACCTCAATAAAAGTGGCATACATTTCAATAAGAGATTGTGAACTCCCCATATGAGCATCAACCATCATAGAAACATCATCATCGTTTGAAAGCTGAAATGATGTATACGTGAGCGGAAAAAGTTCAGTAGGAAATCTGTATTGAAGTGAAGATAGTCTTCTCTGGCCTGCTACACGAATCTTTAACGAAATTTTTGTGATTAACTCCTCAATTGTGATGTTTCTCTTCAAGGTTAAGGGGATATAATGATCTGACTCAAAAACAACCCCCTCTTCAGCTTCCTTAATTTCTCCATCATACAAAACAACAGCAGAAAGACGACTCATTTTCAGAGAATTTGAGAATTTGAGAATTTAGAGTTTGGGAATTTGAGAATTTGAAAGATTGTGAACTGAAGTTTGTTTTGAAAGTTTATAATACGTTGCATATAATAGTTTCTATAATCGGTTCACTATTCACGTGAAGGCGCGTTCCCGGGGGCGCGCCTTCCATTATTTCGTCAGAGAATATTATCATTGCCCTATTATGTCATTCATGTCCCTCGGGGACACTAGATATATCAGTACCTATTATTTCACTATTCACGTGAAGGCGCGTTCCCGGGGGCGCGCCTTCCATTATTTCGTCAGAGAATATTATCATTGCCCTATTATGTCACTCATGTCC